GTATACAAATTTCACAGTTTGTTATACAGTAGTTTTATGTTTTGCTCTGTGGTCTCTTCTACATGTATTTATGTAAACATGTACATATGTGTGTGCATATAAACAAGAAGTATTTCAATTTGAATAAATAATCTTTATAATTAATCTTTCCTATCAAAGCAAAGACACTTAATAAGGACTTCAAGAATTTAAATACAAGGATATGTTTCTGAAGAAACTAACAACAATCCATGTAGTTATAGCTATATTTGAAAAATGGCCCTTACATTATTTTAGTCCTAAATAGACATTGGACTATAAACATGTAACACCCAGACATTTAAAACATCACTTAAAAGAATTTAATTTGGGAATAATATTTTAAAAAAGAAAATCAACATATCTAAATTAATTCTAGCTACTTTAAGTAGATTTATTTTATAAAAGTTAAACTTACCAAATTAAAAAAAAAATAAACACAGGTGATAACGTATCAAACTTAAGGAACATTCAGAATAGATCATAACCCAAAAAGTATTGTGTTTTTTTTAATCAGACCATTTTCTGTCAGGCCATAACCAAACACAAGATGTGAAGATCACCATTTCAGAATGAGACTCAGTATTTAAGACTATAAATCTAAACATTCACACAATATAGGTCAACGCAAAAACAAGTGGTCTCCTAAGATGAGTAAGATTCTACATAAAGGATACCCTCCTCACTCAGAGGATATGAAACTTTAGAGATTCCTGAGACGAGATAATCATGAATATTTGTGCTCCCAACACACAATACTTCAGTAACTGCCACTCTCCCTTTCACCGTATTTTGTTCTCCTCATGAAATCAGGGGAGAAACCTCAATTAGGTGACAAGAGTCTTTCAAGAAGCAACATCTCTTAATTTCCTTTTTATCAATGAAAGTAGTCTGCAGATCAATACAAAGGGGAAGCCATCAAAGGACTCATCTAAAGTATCACCAGGGAGCAGCAGGCAGCAAACATTCAAACCCAGAAATTTTGACTCAACAATTCCTATATAATGCAATAATTCTGCAAAAATGATAGACATTGTCAAGAATATTCAGTCAGAAAAAGATGTAGAAGGAAAAAAGAAGGTTGACAGACATGAAAGTAAGGTATCTGATTACACAAATATCGGTACTTACGTATCATACCTCTGAAGTGGCGTCACTTTGTTTTTATTCTTATCAACTGAACCCGTAGATAGTTGAAGAAAATTGGGGTTTAATTTATATAATTCTTGAAGTAGCTTCTGTTCATATTCTTGGTGTTTACCTGCCTAATGGAAGAAGAAATTAAAACTGCAGTGGGGTTCACAAAATGACTGGTATAAAATATTGAATTACCTTCTGAATTATTAAAGATATCCTAAATAAAACATGCAAGGGTTTTTCATGATGTCAGGGAAACCTGTGAGGAGGGTGTCACAAAACTTCTAGACCAATGGAAGTTCTCCAAAAAACAATAAAACTAATATATTAGGCATTTCATCAATCATTTTATTGTGTAAAAAAGCATATTAAGAGATGTTTCTCTAACTCAAAAAAACTTGAAGCTCCCTTTTAAACCGACTTTAAACCCTATCTTTCATATAAAAATTAAGTCTTGTAACAGGCCATTACTAAATTTTCTGAAGACCACTGAAAATCAGTCAATTTTTTTTAGATTAAAATTTTTGTGTTTCTACATAGAATTTAATGTATTTTAAACTCTAGACCAGGGTTTGTTGATTTATATAGCTGACCACTTTGTTTTTGTAAATAAAGTTTTATTAGAACAGTCACAATCATTCATTTATGAACTGTCATTTATGAACTGTCTATATTTATGCACTGTCTATGGCTACTTCCATGCTACAACAGCAGAGTTGAGTAGTTGCTACGGAGAGTATGTGGCCCAGAAAGCCTAAAATGTTTACTAACTGGCCCTTTACAGAAAATGTGTGGCGATCCCTGCTCTATATACAACAAAGAGAACTCTGTATTTACTGTAGTTGGTGGCTACATATCAGAAATCAGGAGGCAATGCCATAAACATTATGGGAGAAATTAGGCAAAGACTGCGGAAACCAGTCATATACAGAAATACATATATTACAATGAAATTACTTTGAATAACTTTTTATTCTTTGCATGTGTATGTATCATGACTAGAATGACATTTTTACTTACGTTCAGGATTGTTAATTGTTTTAAAAGTGTGGTCCAAAGAGATGTTATGGGGAAACCAAAAGCAGAACAGATAAAAACAAAACAAGAAAAACAAGCAAGGGCAGGGCAGTATCATAAAGGGGCACAACTGGATCGTATTTCCTGCACAACGCAGCCTCCCCTGCTCTGAGAGGGCTCCTGCCTGTTTCAATTGGGTCTCGACAGATTTCTACGATAATACACTTTGAGTTATGCAGTAACAACAACTACAACAACAACCATCTTCTGATTTTTGCCATATAATTTGTTCAAATTTCCTTTCTACACTGAGGAAGTATTTTAACAAAGAATCCCCTTTTCCAAAGTAATTTTAAACTCAGGTAAAAAAGAGCAAGATCAATTCCAGATAACAATATGAAATGTATTTTAAATTATCAAGAAAAAATACAGTTAGGTGTGGATTTTACATCTTTAAAACACAAAAAGCCTTGAAAATTCTTTCTGCAATCAATACTTCAAGAGATAGTATGGCTTTTGTTAGCCACAAAGAGCTCAAACTGATATTCAAATGATTCTACAGGAGTACTTCATAAAATAGGTTAAATCCCATTACAAATTAATTTCTAAGGGACTGTCCATCCATTTTCTTTTCTTTTTTTTAAATTTAATTATTTTCAGTTACAGTTGACATACAATATTGTAATTAGTCTCAGGTGTCATCCATTTTCTTTTACTGTTCAAATACTACTTAAAAATTACATAAACTGGGTCTTAGAAATTCTTTGGCAGAGATTTTCATTGTAATAGTACCTGTGAGTAAAGCATACTCCCCACTAGTCAAAATTCAGTTTGAAATGGTTAAACCTTAGATTTCATCCAAGAAAGCTTCACCCAAAAACAGAAAAAAAATTAAAAAGCACTTATTGGATAGGTAAGAAATAAGTAAGTCATCTGACAGAGATCTTATTTTAACAGTTTTTGGATCATAAAGACAACAATGTCAAGAAATTCCAATGTATTTATTATAATAGGATTTAATCTGTAGTAATTCGAAGTCAAAAAGGTATTATTTCATTTTCTTTAACAATCTGTTCTTAAAGGAGCCCCTACCAGACTTTCTCTAGTTTGATCTGGAGAAAGGTAGCAATCAATGCCCCCCACCTTCTATATGAGAAGTGTTCCTGCAAAAAGTCCACAACAACAATCTGAAGTCCTCATCTATAACAGGAAAGTGCAGCATTGTGCTTTGTATAGTCCTCATTTAATATGCTGTATGGTCACCAATTTTACTTGCAAAGGCATGTTTATACTACAAATTGAAAGGAGACAGGTAGGAGAAAAGGAAATGTAAAAAAGAATATAGGATAATAAGCGTTCAATTTACCCTTTACAGGACACTTTCATTGGGAGAATCATTTTATAAAAATAATCTGAGCTTATCAGCAACATTTAGTGGAATATTATTTATCAGCAACGTTTAGTGGAATATTATTTTCTAGCGTGCTCTGTAAAGAGTAGAGACTAGGGGAAAAAACACAACTCATAATTACAGTCTCACACTGAGCTTTCATTTTGTTGACACTCCCTTTAGAGCAGCTTTCCCCCAAATGCTTTCCTTGGTCAATAAAGTTCTGATTGGACCACAGACTTATTTTTATTATAACAATATCCTACAGAATGGACATTCTATTGAATACTGCTTGGAAAATGCCACTTTAGATACCACTTTTTAAAAAATAAAATCCCTAGTTTTTCTTTTTGCAATTTTAACTTGCAAAAAAAATCCTCCCATTTCCTGCAAAGTTGAAAATTCACATTACTTTACTACCTGCATTTCCTCTTTTGTGAAGCTGGCGGCCTCGTCCCCCAATTCATGTAGATACATACAGTCAGGCTTTGGACACTGCATATTCTTTAAGAAGTAACTGCAGTATTTTGTTGTACCTAGAGATGCCTGCAGGAAGAGAAGAGGAGAGAAGGAAAAAACCCAAAGTGTGAAATGACGCAATAAGAATTTCCATGTTTTATGTTTTCACGTCACCTAAAATGAGACACAGACGTGACATATCAAGAAGTTAGCACTTTGTGAGGGGTGTTATCACTTTGTGAGGGGTGTAAATGTCTAAGCATTATATTGTTTTGTAATAANCCTTCCCCGATTCCCCAACGCTGTTCCCTCCCTCAATTCCCCAATAAAATCTTAAAAAAAACAAACAAAAAACAATTAAAATGAGATAGCTTTTTTGTTTATCAAACTGCCAAATGTGCAGAAAAAAATACTTAATTGAAGGAAATAGGTACTCATAATCTTTGATTCAGCAGTCTTACATCTAAGCACATCAAAGCTATAACCAAATCATTTATACAAAAAAATGTTCATCAGTGTTATAAATAAATAACAGCACCAAAATGAAAATAGCACACACCAGGAGATTTGTTTAATAAATTTGAAATACTCATATATAATGAACTATGTAGCTATAAAAAATTATGTTTTCATGACATGGGAAAATATTCATACTAATGGGTAATAAGTTTTAAAAGTGAACAAACCAATGTATTTTGAAATATTCACAGGAAGGAAAAAGACTACAAGGATATACATCAAATTATTTTCAGTAAAAACATGTGAGTACTGAGATCACATAACATTTACTTCTGTATGCTTTTGTATATTTTTCAAATTCCCTTCAATAAAAAAAACATTATTTTTATATTCAGGAAATAACAAATGTTGTCTCAAAGAGATAATCTAAAATTAAATTTAGGCTCTGAATTCTCTAGGGACTATAAATCCAGAATATGATTTTAATTAGAATGACACTTTTAATGAGAACAATGATGTGTATAAATGTTAAAAGATTCTGAAATAAAGTTTTACTCCAATAACCCTATTCTTATAAGAATCACTACAGAGTCAGCAACCAATAAGGTTAAGTAACAGCATATGGTTCATAATAAGATAAACACACCGGTAGAAGGGGTAGGTACAAAGATCAGTGGAAAGGGTAAAAGATGATCAACCCAGAAAGATTTCTTTTGGACTTAGGTTTCATTCTTAGGTTTGAGGACTCATGCAGAGATCACTCCAGTTGTGCTGAATAAACAAGGTATTCTGAGCATGCCTTCAGTCTGTCAGAGCCTAGACTTGATTTTCAATAA